GCGGCGGCCTACGGGCGGGGCTGCGACGCTCTGGACGGCCAGAAGGGCCGGTCGACGGGCGGCTAGCGGGCTGCTCGTGGGCGGCTCTGGTCGTGCGGGCGGCTAACGGTCGGCGCGCGCGCAGAAGAGGCCGCGCGCGGGCTGCTAGCGGGCTACGCGCGCTAAAAAAAAAAGGCCGCGCGCTGCACTAGCGAGCTGCGCACGGGCAGCAGGAGGAGAGGCGCACGAGGGCGCACTAGGAGAGAGGCGCTCGAGGGCGCTTCTAGCGGAAGGTGGGCCCTTAGGTAAGCGATCCTAGATCTAAACCTACGCTCTTAATACCATGTCAGAAACAAGAAGTGATGAACTAGAAACATTTGGGAGTACAAGTATGAAACCCTAGAGAAATGTACCCCCTAAAGGCTAACCCACTGTAGCCTACACAGCAGCAACATATATAATGTTTGACAAGGAGGGGGGGGGGGGGGGGGGGGGGGGGATGTACCTGTTTCCTTGGGGGGGGGAGGGGTAATCGAGGGGACCACGAAAACAGTGACCAATCCTGTGTTGGCGTTCTCGATCATAATCACCTGAGTGTAACAATGTCCGTTTTTTATAAACTTGAAATTGTTTACACAATCACTTCTATAATTCACAAAGCCTGAAGTCACTATTTGGACTTGCACTAACCCCAATACAAAACCCAAAACGTAAAAAAAAAAAAGAGATCAAGATTCCTTATTTTGGCCTTTTATTCCACAGATTAATGGTACACATTTTATTCTAGAATTGCGTAAACCAAAGAACAATTCACTCATGGTAACTGTACGACTCTATACTGAAAACCAATCAGGATGCAGCAACACATTTGGATGGCGCGTATGATGAGATGAGATCGGTGCCTTCCCGCCCCCCAATCTGGCGGATTGCCCAAAGTATTCCACCAATCAACCCCTCGTCATTCTCGGCAGACTGCGAGACAACATGACCTACCCGTTGTCCGTCAGCAAATAGAAAACGTCGAACTGCAGCAGATTCCACGCCAACATCAACGCAAAGTTGATTGCCAGCAATAAACTACACTTGCTACTCGAATGTCCGAATTTGCATATCTTCTTTCGTTTGCGATTTTATTGTTCAGCCAATGTAGTCGGTGATAAATACCATAGTTATCCTGCAACCAAATTTTGTAGGAAAACAAACAAACAAACATCCCAGAGCCAGTCAGCCTCCCGTTCGCTCCTGCTCGCCTCCCTACCCTCACCTCACCTCTGCCCCATGCCCGTGTTCTTCTTGCTTGCAACTCTGATTACCTCGCCTCTCCATCACTTCATCCTCCCTCGCCCCCGTCCATCCCCTCCGCGTCTATTCAAAAATCCAGAATTCCTTGTGCTCTCATTTCCCTCTTCATCGTGCCTCATCGCCCTCTCCGCTTCCCCCCTTTTCCCTCTTCCCCTCCCTCCCCCCTCCCTCTCATCTTGCTGCGTCCCGTCCTCCCCCGTGATCATCTTGCTGTTCCCGCTACCCACAAAGGCTACATCAACCCAGAAATCTGCTGCTGCCAATGGCCAGGAGGATGGATGAAACGACCATGTTGATGACAGGGCTGCTGAGTGCACTGGGCGTGCTCCTGTCAGGCAGGAATGGCTCGCACCAGACGTTCACACGAAACGTGAGCAATCATGTGATGTGCAGTTCAGACGTTCCGAACAAAGTTTGTGGTTAGTTCCCCAAGTGTGGTGTGGTTTGGTATGATGCTGTATGGTGTGCTGTGCTGTGCTGTGATGTGTTGTGCTGTGCTGTGTTGTGCTGTGGTTGGTGTGGTGTGGTGGCCTGTGTAAGCATGCACATTTGCAATGCCACGCAACTTCAATTCCTGCCCCTCCTACTTCAACTTCTGTTGCAACAGCCTCTTAGCCTCCTGTCATGCCTACCGGTTGAATCAAGGTGGACCTCCTCAATTCAGACAGAAGCTCTCACGGTTGCTACAGCTTTGTATTAGGTGTTTTCCGCCAGGAGCACCCATGAGTGATTCTTTAGTCGATCCAAAAGCCCTCACGGTTACTACAGCTTTGTATCAGGTGTATCAGGTGTATCAGGTGTGTCAGGTGTGCGTGCCTCCATTCACGCAGACGCACAAGGGCAGGGAACGAACTCCAATCACCTTCTCTGCTGCCCCATCACTCGCCTGTCACTGCCCGTCCTTTCCATGTGCGTGCCTCGTCCCCAGGCTCAGGGGCCTGACTCCTCTGTTCAACACAAGCACATCCTAGCCACGGTGCTTCACCTCCTCCAAACTCTCGTGAGTGGTTGCAATCCAGTCGCGGCATTCCCCTGCCATTTGTGCATATTCCATTCTATCCGCATGGCCTAGAGCTTAAGCATGAGCCACGTTTCCGGTTCCATCACCTAACAACAAAACATGTGCCAACACTTATACCACACCATCACCACACCAACACCAACACCAGGTGCAAGTCGTCTGTTCAGTCGCAACGATTGCCACGGCGCTGCTCTGGTGGAAGGGCGTTTCCCAAGCACAAGTCAGAGCGTGGGTGGGCCAGCAAAGCTTGGCGTTGAAAGATGGGCTACTGAAGCTGCGGAGTGTTTCTGCTTCCGTCCTGGTATGTCCTATTTCAGGCTGTTGCCATGCCTTTGCTATCAAAATAACGAACGAGGATGAATGAACTAGCAGCAGGATGGGTACAAGTAAGAAACCCGACCAAGATTGTTCCCCAAGGGTAAGACCACGGATTTTTCTCGGTTTGTCGCCAGTCCCGACGTCCGTTCGAACTCTTCTAACACCTACTCTGCCCTTATCAGCTGCTCCTTTCCCTCCAGGACCAGAGTGGTGTCGTCTGCGTAACCAATGTACGCCAAGCGTTCTCCCGCGTTGCTGATTCCCAGCTTCCGCTTGAGGACCAGCTGTGCCAGCGGCTCAACCGCGCAGAGAAAAAGGTATGGAGCCAACGAACAGCCTTGCCTGATCCCGGATACTACCTCCACACCCTCTCCCATCCAGCCGTTGACTAAGAGTCTTGTCTGCGTCCCCTTGTGCAGGCCTTCCACCCAGCTTACTAGCCGCTCCGGAAAACCCATCGACCGCAACATCCGGAAGAGATACCCACGGGAGACGAAATCAAATGCTTTTTTGAAATTGACCAGAAGAAGAAACCAATCTTCGTTGTTGTTGCGAGCCGTATCAATGATGTCAGCCACCAGACCCACTGCATCAGTTAGCCGCCTGCCCGACAGGAATCCGTATTGCTCCGGTGAGATTATCTTGGGCAACACTTTCTTCATCCCATCCACGACCACCCTCGCCAGCACCTTGTAAGTAAAGTTAAGCAGCGTGATAGGTAGGTAGTTATTCAGCTGGTCCTTGTTGCCGTTTTTTAGAAGCAGCATCGTGACCGCTTCTTTGACTTCTGTTGACAGAACTGCAGATGCCGCGAAGTCCTTCGCCAGGGCCTTGAAGCCCTTCCCCAGTAGATCCCAATGAGCTTCAAATAGATCCTTCGGCAATCCGTCTCTCCCTGGGGACTTGTTCGCCGCCATCGCACTGAAAGCATTTTTAACCTCCTCCTCCGTCCAATTCTTTGCTAGCCCTGCCGCTTTCCAGGTTGTCAGCCTTTTCCCCTTCTCAGGCTTCCAGTCCTCTTCCAGTTGACACTTGTCCTTCCCGAAGATATCCGCGAAAAATTCGGATGTTGCGCGGAGAATGCCCTGCGAGTCCGAGACAACCCCGCTTGTCGTCTGCAGCTCGGCAATTTGGGTGCTCGCCTTCCTCGCCTGCACCAAAGCTGTCAGGTGCTGCGACGCCACTTCTCCTCTGAGCTGCCTGACATGAGATGCAGCTTGTCTTTCTGTGAAGCTGGTATTCCCGCAATTGCAGATCCATCGCCGCCAACTTCTTGCTGGTCATCTTGCAGGTCAGATTGCGCATTGCCTCTTGACGGAGCTCCGCGACAATATTGACAAGGTGTGACACCGTAGCCTTGACACGCTTGCCTTCCTCCCTCGCGAAAGCACGAAGACCCGCTGCCAACCGTGATAGAAGAAGTTCGAAACTGCTGCCATCTGTGACTTTGATCTTTCCCACTGTCGCCTCCACTATCTTCCTCACCCCCTTTTTGTGTGCCATCGATGCGTGAAGTCTCCAGAGACCCGAGCCCATGCAGATCTTCGCGTCCAACCGAAGAGCAACCCTGATAGCAAAGCCGTGGTCAGAAATATAGACAGCCGGTATCACATGAGAAGCTTGAATAAGGTGAGGTAAGAGGGGATGAGAGAGGAGAGGGCGGTCGATAGGGGTGCTGGCTTGCTGACCTTGCGAAAAGAAAGTGAACTAGCATTTCTTCGGATAGAGTGTACGGAAAGCGTTAGAGAGCTGGAACTGCTTGCAGCGAGCATAGAGCCTGTCATTCTCTGCTGTAGGTCCGAAGCAAGACGACTTGTCTAACACTGGATCTTTAATGTTGAGGTCGCCGATAATGAGCAGGTGACTCGTCGGCCGGAGTTGCTCTACTACTGGACCTAAGGTGTCGTGGAGGAACGTCGCCCGGGAGGTCGCCTTTGCCGGGAAGTAACAAGCTAAGACTGTGAGTTGCAGGCCGGGACCATGGATCTTGGCCGAGACAAGTCTACCCGAGGAATGGACTAAGATGTTATGGAAGCTGAGACTACAGAGCAGGGCTACTCCGCCTGCTTTCGACTTGGGTGTGGCTGATGCTACGAGACTGAAGGTAGGGTGGGACCGCGAAGGGTGATTTGAGGCTAGCCTTGTGTCTGATAGCGCTACTAAGTTTGCTGCTTGCCTTGACCAGTCTATGACACGCTGCTGTTTGGTGCGATCTCCTAGGCCGTTGACATTGAGGCCCGCAAAACTGATGAGGCTTCTTTTACTCATTTGATAACAGCTTGATAGCCCGTACGCATCCACAGGGTAAGAAGACAAGAGACACCGACTACTGCAAAAACTACCGCTGCTGCTGCCGACTGATGACCTAGCTGAACAAGTCTCAGTTCCCGTATTCCTTCTTGGTGATGTTGAGGCTGGCCTTTTCGAGAGAGGCACGAGTGGCTGAACCGAACTGCTCCAGATGGATGAGATGATTGGCAGACGTGATGTGGTCGGCCGCCGTCATGAAGCTCTTCCCTTTCGCTTTCCCACACCCCACTTGCGTGCAGATCCATTCTTCGCGATTGCCTCCCTTAGAGATCAGCACAATGGTCGGGTCCAGCAGAATGGGTGTGATCAGCCGCGAGGCAGGCAGAGAAGTGGCTGCACGGTACAAATTGGAGGTTAGCACAAGCACAGATGCCATGATGAGTACGATCATAAGAGTAAAAGCACTTACCATTAATACGGTGCACCCTTCCCAAGGTAAGATTCCATTTCCCAATATTATTTTGCCGGTCCGTGAGGAAGGCATCATGGTTGACGTCATAATGTTGACCACCGCAGAGCAGACAGGACAGGCACCGGCGACCAAGTTTCGAAAGATCTTCGAAGACGTGACGCCAACGGTGCCTATCTCCTGGATGAGGGATCACCAATCCCTTGATGATGTCAGTATCGGCGCCAGTGACCGGGTGCAGGACGCAGTGGAAGCAAACGCCATCCTTGAACGCAGAACACCTCCTGTTCCTCAGCTTGTAGACCACCATCCGCTCCCGCAACATCTCCGGTATCTTCGTCGCAGGTACGTCGCGGATGATCACTTCGACCGCCTGAGGATTTGTTGCCCGTTCCCGCACGAAAGCGGGATCATCAGTGTGTTGCCAGTAGAGTCGAAACACCGTGCCGTTGGGATGTGTGTAGTCCACTTCCTTGGTTCTGATGCTCATGATATCGTCTTCACGAAAGAGCGACACCTGCAGACGACAATACCGGGTCTTCGCCACGTATGCTGGAAGGAGTTCATGGAACTTCGCTGACTCGAAAGCTCCGTCAGATAGCGAGGACGCCCAGACCCGCCTCAACAGCGTCCGCACAGTGGTGATGACCGACGCCACTTCCAGCGCGAGAGCCATAGGTAACAGCAGAATCGCCGTGCAGCGGACGCGGTGAAGAGCCTCCGTCTTGACTTTGACTTTCAGTTCTTCATCAGAATCGTCCTCGATGAAGCCGCTATCAAGAATAGTCGTGCGAAGAGAGCGTAGCTTCTCTTCCAGAGAGATGCTAGATCCGCTAGCAGGTGCATCAATAAGAGACACGTTGTTGGAGTCATCCACCGGTGCTTTGCCCTTGTCCTTGCTTGCAGGTGTAGAAGAAGCAGGAGCAGGCGATGGAGGTGGAGCATCCAGCGACGGTGCTTCCGGCAGAACCTTAGCTTTCCCCTTATGAGGCATCTTGCGACAATGGAGGAAAGAAAGCTGCAGAGCTGAGAAACAGATTGGTGATGAGGGAACTGATGCCATTGCTCTTAGCTTGAGCTTGTTGAGTAGGCAAGTTCCATTGGTGCTTGTCCATTGTTCTTGGCGCAGATGGTGAGAAACCGAGGTCGAGGCCCTGGGATCACGGTTAGTAATAGTCGTAATAAGACCAGTGTAGCCATTGATGTTGTTATCGCTGTTTGGTACAGAAGTTCGAAACCTTGGAGTTAGCAGCAACCCTGTAGGAACCTCGAAGTTAGATGCCTGACAAGAAACAGGATCTCGTTTAGCAAGCGATACTATGTCCGACGTGTAGACACAAAAAGGGTATCGGTCGCTGCGCCTTGTAACGAGGAAGCCAGATCTGTAGTTTTTAAAGCCAACTGACAAGGAACCTACACGGGATCTGGGTTTGAAGCTGCGCGGTAATATCCATGGCGGACTCATGGTAGCAGTCGGTGGTGATGCTTCAACTAGAAAGGCCGGAACCGTGTTTAGAGACTCTCGCATCATGAGGCTACACCCACGAATCACATTAACGTGACAGCGTACACGCTAAAGTGTGGCACTGGTGTTACAATGTCTGTCGAAACCCTAGACATTCTCCCTGAGCATTGTGAAGAGACTGCGACACCAATGTCATTGTGTGCCCGAGCAATCCGCATAGTAAATCACGAAGTGTCTGTGGGAGGTACTTACGACATTCTTGAGACACACCTCGAGCAATGTTTCCAGCGCGAATTTTTTGTAGCGAGTGAGCGATCGGTGATCTCGCCGATCAGACACTCGTTCTCACCTACAAGTAACTAGGCAGAATGTCTAGGTTCGGAACACCCCAACCTCGCTAGGTATGTTTCCCAGAAACTGAAACATTGGTTTCTCCACACCACACCAACGACAGAGTAAATGAGAAGTTGCTTCGTAGTAGGTTCAGTTCCCATCATTTTTGGGATGGGGCGGTCGTTCACGCAGCAGCAGCAGTCGTACGCGCGCGGCAGCATGGGAGGCGGCAGGGAGCGGCGGCAGCAGGGGGGCGCGGGAGAGGAGCGGATGGGGTGGCTGTCGGCTGTGGCGATCGGCGCTATCACGCCCGGACTCAACGTGAGCCTGGGGCGTGCTGTGTACCATGGAATCCATCATTGCGTGAGGGGTGTTGGTGTTAGCATGCGGCGATGACTGCTGCGCACGCTTCGCTGGCACTCGTATAAAACGCTCTCAAGCTCTCGAAAATCAGTAGTTTGACTGTTGCGCACGCTTTCTCGCTGGCGCTCGTATAAAACGCTCTCAAGCTCTCGAAGATTAGTAGTTTGACTGCTGCGCACGCTTTCTCGCTGGCGCTCGTATAAAACGCTCTCAAGCTCTCGAAAATTAGTAGTTCGTCTTGCTGCGCGCGCTAGTAAGGCAACAAGAACTCACTACCTACGTCTAGTAGCGAAAAGGCTCAGGCTACGAGGCCTTTCATAGCCCGCCGATCGACCCCTCAATCTGCAGCACGGCACGACTCCTTTTCCTGCCGTTGCATGCTGCGCGAAACCAGTATCGCCACTTCCCTGACAGCGGTTCTCCACGTTCGGGCTGAAGCTTTGCCCTCCTGGCAGTCTCGACAGCGTTTGACACGGGCAGGTGTTTCACCTGCGGCGGCGTGGTTTCTGCTGTAAATTCAGACAACACGTTCGCGAGCCTCCTCACCCTCTCGAACAGTAACCCCCACACACGAACCCACTTGCACCTGCTTCATTTCCTGAAAGCACCAGCACGATCCTCGGCAGCGGCACCGCCAGTCCTGCCTACCCACGATATCCGCGTTGTGTCTCGTTAGTACATTTGCTTGCGCTAACATCGCGAATTCGTGACATTGGGCACACCGCCAGCTGCACTGCACAACTCTCTTTCTCATCACTAAAAAAAAAAAAAAAAAAAAAAATTGCCGACTCGCAAGCGGGACAGGATGCCTGAAGACTCGGACCCGCACCCATCTCGTCCTCCTAATCGGTCATGCTCAACCCCAGCTTTTGCAGCTCTTCCGATTCCACAGACACCACGCTCACCATCTTGCCCTACTATACCAGCCGTCACACACACTTCCTCGCCACTGCCGGAATCATCTGCTCCACACCCCCCAGCCTCTTCGTCTCAACACCCCAAATCATCAACCTCACCCCGTTTCATTTCAAAGGAGCAGAAAAACGTACTCCAACAAGTCCTTACAGACACTTCACCCTTTCCCCAACAACTCTCCTCTCGCCATCCTGAACCTGTAGCCGAACTTGCTTTGCAGCCTCCTCCTGCTTCTTCTCCTCCTCCTGCTTCCACGCCTGCTTCGCACCTTGCTGCGGCCACTGATTCCCCTCCTTCACCCACTTCGGTTCCGGGCCCGAGATTTCGCTGCTCCACCTGCAACCGCACCAACTTCACCACCTCGGGTGGCTTCACTCGTCACCTCTCTGCTTGCTCCCGCAATGACTCAGCCCGTCAAGAAGCAGCCCGCCCTCCTCCTCCTCGTGCCACCGCTACCTCCCCATCCTCTTCAGCACCTCCACAGATTTCTCAGCAGACATGGGAAGTTGTCATAAGCTGGGACTGGGGGACATTCTTTAGTCCCACCGTTACCCCTGGCCCACTGCTGCGCCGGATCCCGTCGCGAGCCCTCTTGCTGGCCCTGGATGCTTTACTCATACCAATTCGTCGTCTTGTCGTCTTGCCTCAATACCCTGCAGCTCATTTCCTCCTCCTCGCTTTCCCCCGACTCATGCTTCGCTCTTCAACCACTTCTTCCTCACATTCAGCTACGGCGGAATGTGCAGCCTATGCGCGCCGTTTCATTCAAGGCGACTGGCTCCCCCTCTTCAACGAGGCTGTCGCTGCTGCTGTACCAGCATCTCGACCGCACAATTTATCGTCCGCCTGGTCCACATCTACGTTTGCTCGGTTGAACAGGGCCAAGCGGTTCGCGCATTGCGGAGATTGGTCGCTTTCCCTTGCTGCTTTAGAGGCTGGAGGGCTTGCTCCACTGACTCTGGAGACTGTCACTGTGCTAAGGCCAAGCACCCTCCTGCTCTTGAAGACCTCATGGACCGGCTCTCCGACTTCTCGCCTCCGGAAGTGCCTGAGCTCACCGTCCCGCTTCTTCATCACGCCTTGCGGTCAGCCCCTCGAGGCACAGCTGCTGGTCCTTCTGGGTGTCTCATTGAGCACCTTCGTGATACCTTCCTCTCGTACCAATCGCATCTGCCACATCTCCTCCGCTTGTTCCAGAATTGGCTGCAAGGCGACCTCCCTCAAACTGTCCGACCGTTCTTCACCGCATCTACTCTTGTCGCCCTTCAGAAGCCGCAAGGAGGCGTCCGCCCCATTGCCATCGGCGAGATACTGCCGCGCTTGCTGTCTCGTTGCGTTATTCTTCACTTCAAGCAGCAGATTAGGGATTTCTTCCTTCCCTCCCTGCAGTTTGGGGTCACTGTCTCTGCAGGGATCGAGGTTATGGCCCACACAGTCCAGTCAGCCCTCTCTCTCCACCCAGACTGGGTCGTGCTGGAACTGAATGTGGCCAATGGTTTCAACTTGTTCAGTCGTTCCGCTATGTTCAATGCTCTGCGAGACTCCCCGTTCTCCAGCCTCATCCCTTTCTTCCGCCTCGTCTACGCCTCCCCCTCTCCACTCCATTACCGCAGCGGCCCACTCATCGAAACGCTTCAGTCATCATCAGGTGTTTGACAGGGTGATCCATGTGGGCCATTCTTGTTCGCCCTTACCCAGCATCTAGCCATTCGCCCCATTCAGCGGCAATCTCCAGCAATCTTGATCACCTCCTACGCGGATGACCCTGCGCAGGAGGTGTTTCCTGCCTACACAGCACTTACAGCTCGTCTCAACAGCCTCAGCCTGCGGGTGCAACCATCGAAATGCTCCCTTTGGGCCCCTTTGGACCTCCCTTCAGACCTCACACCTCCATCAGACATCGTCATTGCCCTTAACGGTATCACGGTTGTGGGAGTTCCGATTGGTTCAGATACCCACATCATCTCTACAGTACAGGACAAGCTGCACTCTTTCTCCTCATCTCTGCCTCTTCTACATGACCTTCATGATCCTCAGACTGCCTCTCGCATCCTTTCTCTCTGCGTCTCTGCTCGTCCCTCATTCCTCCTCCGTACTGTTGCACCCTTCCCTGAGATAGAAGAGCTCTATACTGACTGGGACAACAGCTTGCTCGACCATTTTGTTCGCCTCATTGGCTCTGACTACTGGCCCCCTACATTTGACCACACTGCCACAGCACATCGACAGACATGCCTTCCCATTCGCCTTGGAGGGTTTGGCCTCCGATCATCAGCTGCAGCTGCTACTCTCAGTTACTTGTGCAGTTGGGCACAGACAGCTTCACTGCTCTCCTCATGCTTCACCATCAACGGCTCTCACATTTTCCGCCCCGTAATCACTTCAGACACCATGGATCGCCTTGACTCATGCATTCCTAAAGCCTTATCCAAACTTCATCCATCCATTCGACAACACTTCCCCACTTGGCCTGCACTCCACGCTGGCTACCCACAGAAGCTGTATTCCTACCTTTCACAACACCTTGACGCTGTCATGCTCGAGCGTGTGCGATCCACAGTAACCTCCACCCAACATTTGACCCGTTTGACCTCCCTCCAAGGGCCCCATGCTGGTGACTGGCTCACTGTGGCTCCATGTTCTCCGCGCATGTAGCTTTCATCCACAGAGTGGTGCATTGCAGCTGCTATTCGTCTTGGTCTCCCCATTCCACACCTCACATCCACCCGGACATGCACTTGTGGTTCGTCATTCACGGATCCTTCAATCGTCTCACATGTCCTCTGCTGTCCATCTGCTAAAAAGCCTACCAGGGTTCACGACGTTATCAAGCATGAGGTTCACCGCATCACGTCGGAGCTTGATTATGTTGTGCAGCTGGAGGATTCCCACCTTCTTGCAGGACGCCGCCCCGACATCAGTTGCCGTAGCATCAGCTCGGGGACAACATGGGCATTAGATATTTCGGTCGCAGATCCCCAGAATGGCCCCCCAAACTCCAAAACTGCATCCGTCATCGGTTCAGCCGCATCTGCTCGCGAAACCGAGAAGCGGACCCTGTATGCGCCCACGTTACACCACCGACCAGACGTAAAACTCCTTCCTCTTGTCCTTGAAACCTTCGGTTGCTTCGGTATGTCATTCCTTAGCTTCATCAAGGACTGCAGCCGACGGGGAGCGACACGGCTCCGGGACATGGGTGGTACATCCGACCTTATCCCAGAGCTTTTGGAGACGAGCTACTTCAAGAGGATTTCTCTGGTGCATCGGCGCGAGCATGCCAGGACCATTTACCGTCGAACACAAATTCGCTACAGCACTGACACACCTTTCCCGCCACCAGAACCCACCCCACCTTCCTTGGCTGATTTTGCGTACCTTGGTGTTGGTTCTTGAGACCTCATTGGGGTCTCAACCTAGGGTAGTAGGTATTGCTGGTTAGTCATCTGATTGTACTTGATTTGATTTGTATCCTCTGTACAAATATAACACTGCAGATAAAATAGAAGCGTGTCTGACTTCAGATCAGAAGGTTGCCTGTTCGACTCACGTCAGGTTCAAAGCCTGTATTTTGCTGCTTTTTGGATTTTGAAGTCCTCCGCAATCGTTTTCAAGGCCTTCACTTTTCTATGATGTGTCTTTTGTTCCCCCTACTTGACATACCTGCCACTTGCTTCCTGTCATCGTTTTCACTGTCCCCACATTCTGTTTCTTACAATTGCACTCCCTCTTCCCTCCTTGTTCCTCATCCTGCCATCTCTTCCATCTCCACCATCTCAAGGAACCCACCCTCCCTCACAGCAACCTTAATTCCCCCCCCATCTCATCCCCACCCCCCATCTCTCCCCCACCTCAGCGCCCCACACTGGTGCTCATGAACATCGTCCTGGTGGGGCTGCTGCTCTCCTTCGCCGCCCTGCTGCCCGCTGCCTGGCGCTACTCCCGCCCACCTGTGGGCGACAGCAGCAGCAGTGGGACTGGGAGCGGCAGCACAGTGGAAGGTGGCAGCAGTGAGATGCTGTACCATGTGTTGTTCCTGCTGCTGCTCACTCTCCTACTCATTGCGCTACTCAACTGGTGGGTGTTGGCTGCTCAACTGCTTGGTGTTGACTGCTCGTGCATTCACCCATGTTAGCCACTTGTGCATTCCCCCATGTTACCCACTCATGCACGCACCCATGTTACCCACTCATGCACGCACCCATGTTACCCTCTCATGTTTTGACCCATTTTACCCACTCATGCATCTTTAATTCTCTCCCTTCCTTTCCTCCCCTTCTTTCCCTTTCCTCCTCTTCCCTACCCTTCCCCCCTTTCCTCCCATCTTCTCCCAACCCTCCCCTTCAATCCCCCCCTCTCCCCTTCTTCCCCTCCCTCTGTTGCCTCCCCTTTTTGCTCTTTTTCCTCGCTGCACCAACCCGCACGTCTCTGTTCCCGCTTCAAAATGCACACCATCATCCCTTGCATGCTTGCAAACCAGGTCCGTGCTTCTCTGAAATTTGACGAATCAATCCACGTCCCCCCGCCCGTGCCGTCCCCCGTCTGGTAGGTTGGCGTGGGAGGTGGGCACAGTGTCCACCCACTCGCAGGCACGGCAGCTGCTAGCACCTGCTGGCAGCAGCCATGGTGCTGCTGATGCTCCCAATGAGTCTGGGGCCCATGATGCCCAGGAGGATACAAGCGGGTCAAGACGAGCGCACGGCAAGAGGCACAAGAAAAAGCGTCAGGGCAGCAAGAAAAACTTCAAGGGAAGGCGCTGACCTCCTCGCCCTGTTACATGCTTCATGTTGCTAGGGATACTGGCCATTCATGCTCTGCCATAGTGATGCTCTCTGCAGTAGTGATGCTCTGTGCAGTAGTGATGCTCTCTGCAGTAGTGATGCTTTCTGCAGTAGTGATGCAAATACTAAGGACATTCGCAGTGGCGAGGCTTCATTTTAGTGCAGCTGCAAGTGCAAACACGTACTTTGGTTTCCAACTTGATACCGAACATGGCTAACTAGTTTCCACTTGCAGGAATGGCATAGCTGGTTGGAGAACTGTGTACAGTTGATGGGAATCAGGGGAGTCCTCGCATAGCCTAGTGCATGAGCTATTTCCACTGGAGCAAGTGTGAGAGGAGCTGCTGGCAGTGGGAATCCTGGCTGTGTGCGTGGTGTGGTGTGCCAAGGGGGACAATTGCAGCGGGTGGCTTGTGACAGCAGCACACAGGAGCATAAGGTGATGCCTCATGACTCGTGAGCAGTGCCATCACAGCGCTTCATGTGCGTTGGGTTGTGCCTAGGCCTGCACGGCCCCATACAACCTGTACAGCAGCAATGACATCACAGGATCTCTAGTCGTGTGGTGGGGTAGCCCACCTGCGCTCAGTAGGTGTAGAAGAGGCGCTCCAACGCACTCACGTACTCCGCAAGCACATGGGATGGGATGGCATGGTACGTGCGGGATGGGAGGATACAGATGAGGAGACGAGTGGACATGAAGGCCCTCACTTACTCCACATGCATTGCAGCCATTTGCATGGAGGGATGGCGCGGCATGGGATTGGAGGCAAGGGGAGAAATGGGATTAGATGGCATGGCATGAGATGGCATGAGACGAGGGCCATGGGATGGCATGACATGCATGCATGAATGACATTGGCACGTTACAGAGGGATGAGGAGAAGAAGGGAAATGCATGCACCCAAGCAGGCATGCGAGGAATGACATCGATCAGAGAAGACGATACAGCTTGCAAACTCGAACAACCATGCACTCATGTAGACGTGCAGGCATGCACCCATGCACCCATGCAGGCATGCACCTATGCAAGCATGCATGACACGCCAATTAATCAACCCCTCGGTGCACGTGCCCACAGCGTCCGCCTTATATCAGCGAAACACAACTCTCACACTCCCAGCCACTTCACAATTGTTGGTGCAACCCTACAGTTTGCACTCGGCTTGTTGTCCGTGTGCGTGCATGCGTGTGTGCATGGAATTGTATGAGAGCATGAAATAATATATATTTCATGCTTAAAATACTGTGTGCATAATGAGTCATGATGTCGAGTGTGTGTGTCGAGTCAATAGCGAGTTATCGCTAGTCGCGTGTTACGCGGCCATTTGTGTCTCGCGCGCGGTTTCTATTTTGTCATGTGTCTCGTGTACGGTTTCTATTTTGTCCTGTGTCGAACGTTCGGCGTGTCGCAGGTGTGTGCAACAGACCCATCAATAACTCAAGGATGACCCTCTTGGTCATCATGTCTGCCTGTTGCCCCGTTGTCTTCACATAGCTCAACTCAACTTCACCCGCGGCCACCATGCTCCTCGTCCAATGCAATTTCACACTCATGTGCTTGGCGAGGCCGTGCAACACAGGGTTTCTTGCAAGTGCAATGACACCTTGGCTGTCATAGTAGAGAGGGTAGGTCCTTGCTGCTCCTCCCCCAATTCAGCCAACAAATGCCGCTGCCACACAATCTCCCGTACGGCACGGAAGAGTGCCATGTACTCGGACTCCACCAAGCCCAATGCTTGGTCCACCTGCTTCTTGCTCTCCTAAGCAATTGGGCCTCCACCAACACAACTTATGAAGCCTTTCACACTTGTCATGTCCTCTAGTTCCGATGCATAAGAGGCATCGGAGAAGGCAGTGAGGAACAAACGTCCGGGTTCAACACCATCCGCGCTCTTTTGGCGCCTTTGCGCCGCCGCCGAGTATTGCAGCCCAACAGTCGGTGTTTGGCCAAGATAATTTTCCACCCTCATTCCAGCTGCTACCTGCTCTTCATTAGGGCATTGCACAGCCCTAACCAGTTGCCCGGTAGCAAAGGTGAAATCCGTTCGAGTGTTTACCGCCGCGTACATGTGGCTGCCCACCAACAAGTGAAATCGGCGCCTCTCCTCTTCTCCAACACCCTCCTCTGGTCCCTTTACACACTTGAACCCAGAAGAGAATGAAGTAGTCACATGGCCTTCACCCTGCCAAAAGTTGGCAGCCAAGGCCTCCAAGTACTTGCGTTGATGCACCCGCATGCACCGCTTCTCCACGTTCGATATGAAGCCCGAGGTAGAAGTTCACTTTGCCAAGTGCCTTGCTCTTGAACTTGTCCTGAAGCTTCAGCATCACCTCCTTCACAAGGTCAGAGGAGGGTGAGAAGATAAGGATGTCATCCACATAGGCTACCATGAAGCTCCTCTGCTCCCCCTCGCCAAGCATGAACAAGGAGTGGTCGGCCGTTGAGGGAGTGAAGCCGATCTCCTTTAACACTTTCCACAGCTTCAAGTACCATCGCCTAGCAGCCTGCTTCACCCCATAGAGGGCCTTATTCAGCTTCAAAACTCTGCCACTGCCATCATCAAACCCCTCTGGCTGCGCCATGAAAATCTCTTATTCGTGAATGCCGTTGAGGAACGCGGTTGTCACGTCCATCAGCTTCAACACCCATCCTTTGATGGCAGCCCCCGCGAGTAGGGTTCGCAGGGTCGTCGGCTTGACCACAGGAACAAACAACTCCTTGTAGTCCACCTTCTCCTTTTGCTGGTACCCCTTGGCTACAAGCCTTAACTTTGTGGCGCTCGATCTTGCCATCAGCGTCGGACTTGATCATGAAGAGCCACTTGGACGTAATCGCCTTACGCCCCTCCGGTAGCTCCACCAATTCTCACATGTCGTTCTCCTTGATGCTCTTCAGCTCACTCTCCATTCCCTTCTTCCACTCCTCAGCATCACTACTCTCCAAAGCCTTCTTGAGAGCTGTTGATTTCCCAAGCATCTCCACCAGAGAGAAGAACGCAAAGGCACAGTCCTCGTACTCACTTTCCTTGTCGTCTCTAACCATCATTGCCGCTCCAATCAAGGCTGACTTGCTCGGCTTTCCCGGCGCATCATATGGCAGCCTATTAGGGGCTTGAACTCCCCTCTTACCCCTTTCTTCCTGCTCAGCTGCAGGGACCTGAAAGCTATCTTGACGTTGTTGCGGAGTGACCCAAATCCGTGGAGCGCTCGTAGTGCGAGAAGGAAGTGTCGGTGCACGCTCGCTTACTTGCTGCACTGTCAACGGGAGTGTTGTAAGGCCCCGTCCTCGCTTGGGCGGAGCCAACCTTGTGGTCGGATGTGCGGGGGTTGCAGCCGACCTGCAGCAGTGGGCACGGGGGCCACTGCAAGGGCGCCAAGCTGGAGGGCGCCTGGCTGGAGGGCGCCAAGCAGGAGGACGCCGCCCTGGACGCCTGGTTGGCGTCCCGGACGCCTGGACGGCGTCCTGGGAAGCTAGACGCCGAGTTGGGCGTCGCCACGACTACCCGGGCGCCTGGTCGATGACGTGGGCGCCTGCATGGCGTTCTGGAAGGCCAGACGCCGACCTAGGCGTCTGCACGGCGTCCTGGGGGTCCGGACGCCGACCTGGGCGTCCCGGGGGGCCCAGACACCAACCTGGGCGTCTGGTCGGCGTCCTGGGAGGAGGGACGCCGCTCTGGAGGTTTGCTCGGCGTCCTGGGCGTCTGGACGCCGACCTGGGGGTTCGGAAGGCGTCCTGGGCGCGTGGACGCCGGACTGGGGACGCCGGGCATGCGTGGCCGGCTACGGACTGCGCTGGTCGGCCAGGTGTGGTTGCCCGGTCGACCGGAATACCCGGGCGACGTGTGCGAGTGTCGCCAGGGTGGAGTCTGCGAGGCCGACCTCGGGGGTGGTATCCCGAGGTCGACATGGCTGGTGGGCGCAGTCGTTGGCGTGGAGTCTGCCAGGCGTCTGCGGTGTGCTCGTGACAAGGTGTGGAGCACCAACCAGCTGCGCTTACCTGCGAAGCAGGTGCACCATTGTCCTACGGGTGCAACGCTGTGCAGCCGACTTGCTGTAGCGTTGGCACACCGTGGACTTGCAACGTTGGCGAACCGCTACTCTGCAACGCTGGAGCGGTGCGAGCGCTGCTGCGCTGGAGCGCTGTCGACCATGCTACGCTGGAGGTCGACCAGCAGCCTAGCTAGCTCTGATGTAGTCAGTGATGCCAATGTTGTTGCAATCATTATTGTCATGTTTTCCTAGTGAAACTCTTGCCAATTCTCCCCGTGAACTAGCAAGCAGCGTGAACACAAGGAAACGACTAAGTGAACGAACGCAGAGATCACACGAGCACACGTGCCTAGCCCGTAGC